GGTTTTGTTTGGTTGGGGTTGGGAGTGGCTAGTGAATCACCACGCTCAAGAGGAGCTGAATCATCGGGGTTCTCATGCGAACGCTTGTTGCCGCAGAGACTGTCACAACACGTGCTTTGGGTTTGAAGAAGATGGAGATGGGCTAGCTGATTGGGGTTAAGGTTGCCTTCTTCTGATAAAATTGAGCTAGCATGATAGAGGTTAGGTCATCGAGTGGGATGGCATAAGGGTTGGGGAGGACACGCGTTATGTATCTTGGGTTACCCTGGAGGTTGTAATTGTTTGGGGTTTGGTGGTTGATGGTTCAGATGTGGGTAGGGATACCATTGGGATTGATTGTGGTTGTGTGTGAGAGAGAGTGTGTGTGGGTTGTGGTTGCGGTTGGATTTGATCCTTCAAGACCGTTTGGGTTTGTCTAAAGTCATGTGCTCTTGAGGATTATCTTATTAAGTAAAATAAGTGACATTGAACTTATAGTATGATCCATATGATAATTTATGAAAATTTGAGTTTTCAATTACACTGACATTATTAAAGCTGTATGCGAGCAGTTAAAAAAATGAGAAATTGAGTACCATAGGCTATGCAATTTTACCTTCTCAACAATCTCATTGAAAAGTTGGTAGCTTGGAGTTATTAAACATAGAAAGAATGACACAAATATTACCTCCTAGCTTTTATTGGTCAAAAATATTACTGAAATATTTTTTGACAAAAAAGTGACCATCGATCTTCCGCTCAGCATCTCCTTCGTTGAACCTTCCTCATCTCCTTCTCATTCGCTGCGTAAGGACCCCTGGACGGAGCTAGACATCAACGACGCACAGAGCCAGAGCAACGTCCATCTCCTCTACTTTCTCTGCGACGATCTCCATCGTCAGTCGCTTCCTTGGTCGTCGTTTGTGGCCATCAACCACGTCTGGCATCATCGTCGACCGTCTGGTTCACGTCTCCTGTTCCCGTTCGTCGCGTAGATATCGATCTTCCCCTTCTGTTTCCATCTCCATACCCATGCAAACCTGCTTCTCCTTCTTCATTTTCTTACCGATGTAGGGGTCGTAGGGGTGATTTTCAGATTTGGATCTGGAATGGGGACGGCGGCTAAGGTTAGCGGGGATGTGGTTGAAGGTCTGGTCACTTGCCGTCGGGTGCGGTTGGGGTTGGGGAGGTGATCGGTTGTCACAGCTCTATTGAGCAGTGGAGGGGGGGATTGATCTTGGGTTGGGGTTGGGGTTGAATCGGGTAGGGGTTGGTGGGGGTTTGGGAGGGGGTAGGCGGCGATAACTCTAAGAAGCGGTACGATGGTGGTTTTTGGGCGGTGCCGGCGGCGGCGTCACTATGGCCGCCGGAGGTGTCACTGTGGTTGACGGTGTGTCACTGCGGTTGTGTCACTGTGGCCAGCAGTGGTGTCACTGTGGCCGGCGGCGGCGGTGTCACTGGGGTCGACGATGGCGAAGATGTTACTGCGGATGTGTCACTATGGCCGACGATGGCGGATATGTCACTGCGGAAATTAGGTCAGGAATGTCACTACAGAAATGTCAATGTGCATTAGTCATATTTTTGTCTAAATGTAAATGTGCTCACTTTTTTGGAAATTAGTCTTAGTTTAGTAATATAAAGGGAAAACCCTCTTAAACATATTCTACCTTTATTTTGATACGTTGACTTATATAGTTGATTGACCTCGTTGCATAGATTCATATATGAATAAAATTCATATTCTTGATTTTGAAATATTTTTAAGATTTGTTTTCTCAATTAGATCGTAATCAATGAATTGGTTTTTGAGGTTATTTGTATAATTTTTGTGGGGCCTTTTTGTATTTTAGTACCAATGAGTCATCATCTCAAAATTGGTGATATGAATGATTACCTCAATATTAAGTTAGTATGCTTTTGTATGCATGCCTCACTCTAGCTAGTATCGTAATTAACCTCATAATAAGCTAATTAACTACAAACTTTACTCATGAATACTTTCAGGGGATTTGTTGAATTCTAATCTAAAATGAGGTTCTAATTTTAGGGAGGACTCCATTTAAAATGCTTCGATTTGGATTGATTTTTTGTCCAATCTCTCTACTTTGGTCTGGTCTAATCTTATATGATTTGATTTGATCTAATCAGGTTTTGTCAAACAAATTTACGTCATTCAACTAATAGTTCAGATATATGTAGCATTTCAAAATCCATCTTTAAACAATAGTTTCGAGTTCAAACAATAGGCTTTAATTCAGACATTAGCTTTCACCAACAACTCAAAATGTCAAACATGGACTTAATATATGAGCCCATTTGGCAGCCCTTGTTGCAGTAATTCTCTGACTGAAGTTACTATGCAACACAAATTTAGCTATTTTTTATGTAATTTTTCTTAAAATAATTAACAAAATTTATTTTAAATGTAATCTTTCCATGATTCGGCTAATGTTGTAACTTCAGCCATTTTGATGTTACAAAATGGACTCCATGTATCCAAATAGAAAAAGGGAATTCTAAATACAGCCCATAAAATACTATTCATAGTCTCGAGTTACTTGAAATTATTATTTTAACCTTGCAATCTTTTATGTTTAGAAGTGGTCGGACATAAGCTTACGATGGAGATTTGATTTTTCACCGTTCTGAAGATAAACTCTATTTAAGCAATGTTTGAATAGAGCTTTATCATCTCCTCCAACGTCAGCATGCTTTGGTAGTTGGCACAAGATGGAGAGCCAGACCCAGAAGTTGTTCTCTTCACCTGATCTGAATGTTTCTGATCTTATATGATCTGAATTTTTCTGATCTGATCTCATCTGATCTGATACTTTCTGATCTGATCTGAATTTTTCTAATCTGGTCTGAATCCTTCTGATCTTATCTGAATATGATATGATTTGAATAGTTCGATAATTATAATCATAATTATAATTTAAAAAATAATTTTAATTATAATAATAATTATAAAAAATATAATTATATTTATAATAATAATTGTAATTAAAAATCAAATTATAATAATTATACCTATTACACTAATTATAATTATTGTTATAATTATAATTGTAATTCTATTTTTAATTATAATTATTTCTATAATTATAATTTTACTTATAAATATAACATGTATTTCTATAATTATAGTTATAATTTTAATTGTAATTATAATTATAATTATAATTATAACTATAATTATAATTTTAATTATAAGTATATTTATAATTATATTTCTAATTCTAATTATAATTATAATCATAATCATAATTATAATCATATTATAATTATAAATACTAAGTATAATAATAATAATATAGTAATAATAATAATATTATTATTAATGATAATAATAATAATCTTTATCTTCTTCTTTAATTAATATATATATATATATATATATATATATATATATATATATATATATATATATATATATATATATATATATATATATATATATATATATATATACGTTGGCAGTTTGTAAATAAACCAATTTTTTTGAGCTCCTGCGAAAAAGTGCAACGAAAGCAAGAAAAAGTGCAAGCGAAACATGAAAAAGTGAAAACTTTGCACTTTGCACGGGAAGTCCACTTTTCATTTGAACTCTTATATATATATATATATATATACACACACACACACACACACACACACACACACACACACACACACACACACACTTAAAGGCACTTCTAGAGAGAAAAACTCTCCCGCGTAAGCTAGGTCCTAACATGTAATTTCGTCGCTCACTCCTACACATAAGACAACACACCTATCATAAATAGGGAAACTTCCTGAATTTAACTAAAATAAAAAGCACAAACATGTTCTTGGCATCAATATCAGCATGAACTAAATGAATAAGAATGGAAATAACATCATTACAAATCAGAAAAAACTAAAGCACAAATAATAAAAACAGGCAAAAAATCCCAAATGGGTCGTAACTTTGAATTGCTAACACCCAAATGGGTAGTAACTTGGAATTGATAACACCTGACATGCATATCACGACACCAACTTTATCCATAAACCGTTGCCTTAAAATCTGAAAAAATAGTTTTTGAAAAAATATATTGAAAAAAAAAACAAATGCTATGTGCTCCATAAATGCATATTGGAGGACAATTCAAAGAAAACACAAAATTGTTCCAGTAATTCGACGTATAACATGGGCCAAAATATCATCCTAAAATACACAGAAAAGAAAAGGGCTGAGATTCATCAAACATGAAGCCAAAGAGAAACAAAACCCGATACACTCATACACACATTTTCTTTTTCCCATCATTTACTCGGAGTAAAGATTACAAATTTACAACTTATTGAAGCACAGTTTTGTCACACACTTAAAATCTCCTGAAATCAAGCACCCGCTTGGAGGCAGAGACAAAGCCGAGACTTGATTGTGGAAGTAGCAAGAATAACATCAAATAGTGAATGCAAATAAACAGAAGAAGCGAAACAATTACGTGAAAGCAGAGGAGATGTTTCCTTCTACTCTTTTACTTCTTCCTTCTCTCCCCTGGTGGTAGGAAAAGTCGGCTGCGGCTGGTGTTAGGAAGAGACGGGTTACGGCTGTCGGCTGGTGCGAGGAAGAGAATGGTATGGCTGGTTCAGGTCTCGGGCTGCTGTTGCCTGCGACCCTGCGGGTAATGGAGCCGTCCGGCCATCTGGTTGGTGGTGGAAGACAGGACTGCTAATTGATCGGTGCGGTGGAAGGCCGCCTTGAAGTTGTGCGGAACTTGGTTAGTCTGGGATCGCTGCTCGAGAATATTCGAAGTGGAGACGGGAAGAGTTAGAGACGGTAGTCCAAGTAGGATTTAAACTTTAAACCTAAAATACGTATATTTTATCTATTTTATATTTTAATTTTAAACAATTATATAAAATTATAAATATAATAGAATATATATTTATAATTCATAAATATAGAAATCGAACATATTCGAATAACTTACGAATCGAATATATGTATATTCGTATTCGAATAATCAATTTCTAATATGAATCCTGAATCTGATCAAAATTATTCTATTCTTTTATAACCCTACGTCTGAGCTTCGGCCTAAGCTACTCTCGCCGCCGCCCGCCTAAGGTATGGCCTAAGCTATTCTCGCAGCTCAGCCTAAAGTATAATTTTGCCGCTCACCATGCCTTCTCTTGTCTTCTTCTTCTTCACTGGAAGTATCACATCCCAGCTTTTTGAATCGATCAAGTTCTTTCGATCGACCATAGCTTTGTTCGTCAATTCCCTTACCGACGAAGGTATGTGCCGTAATTTGAACTCCCTAGCACTCAATCCCTGGATTTACGAAACCTTTGATGCAATCCTGATTTATTTCTTCTTGAGCTTTCTTAATTTGAACTCCCTAGCACTCAATCGTTTCTCGATATGTGATGTTGCATCCCGACAAGCTAGGGCTTCCGAACGTGGTTCAGGGGAAAGTATGGCCTTGATCGAAATTGGCTGATATGAACAAGCCACAATGATTCACTCTGCCCCCAAACCCTATTCCATTGGTAATACTTTCTGAACTCAAATTCACAGCACACTGCCAAACAAGACAATTTTGTTCTTCCTTTTTCGCTCTTATCTCAACAATTACAAGGTAAGTTCAATTGTCGTGTTGTCTTCTCACCCGATGAATTCCATGTTCCATTTTAATGTCATATTTTTCTTGATTCATAATCTGTCATTTTTGTGAACACTGATTTTGACTGATTAGCCTTGCCAACATATGAAAAATATTGCATATGCATCTCATGTACCAATAAATTAATCATTTTAAAATTGAATTGGCAATTTTCAATTGCAAGTGTGAGTATTTAACTTGGCACTTTAATGATTTTGATGTTGATCTCTTAGTTATATTGGCCTTATTAAGTTTAACTAACTAATGCTTTATAACAGGAGCAATCTTTCTATTATCCTCTAAATAGGGGTAGGATAGTTGAATTGGAATACAATTCTGATGACTCCACTTTAATTGAAATTTTCTATGAAGTTAATTCATAATCATCCAAATTTAGGTGAGGATAGTAAAACTATTCTAAGATTCACTTATTCCTATACTTTTCAATATTCACAAGCCCAACATAGATGAGAATATTAAGGTTATGCGATATTCCATGACTGCTATTGAGACTTAACTTTATTTTGAATTCATTTCCGAAATAAATGAATTCAAGTGCATAACCTCTTGAATGCTATTGTTTTTCTTAAATTGAATGAATATAGAAAATTTTAATATCTCTGCTTTCAAAGTGCATAACCTCATGAACGAATATGACACATATATAGTTACTATAGTCATAACAAAAGTATGATCATAGTAAATGCAGTGTAAAACTGAACATTACTATGGTCACTGGGTATTAAAAGACAGTTTTTGCCCATGATTTTTATTGTGGTCATACATTTGGCATTGTTTCTGCATTAATTTGATATCATGTTATTTTGTTTGCAGACTGATATGGATAGCACTAATGTATATCCTTAGAGGATATACATTGTTTGAACCAAAATTTTCACTGGGTTTTAACCAATTGAGCATGATCTGGTTCTTAATTTTTACTTACTTTGCAAGTGTGAGTATTTAACTTGGTACTTAAATGATTTTGATGTTGATCTCTTAGTTATAAAAGAGGCTATGGTTACACCTCGATCATAACAACGGTTCTGTATTTCTTATTGAGTTGGCAGTTAGTAGCCAAATTAATAAACGTTGTTCTATTGTGAAAGGTTTCACAAATGTTTTCACAGATTATGGAAGCTGATTTTCTGATGTTTTATGAACCACATGAATAGGTGGTGAGTCTAATTATTCGCTCTATCTAAAATCTGATCGATGACTTCAATTCTTATTTTACTATAACAATGCAGGGATGCATGTAATCAAGAAAGTTCTCACATTGGTTTTCATGATATTGGTTTTAATATTTAATTAGCTGATTCTCACAATGTTCTCATATCTGTTTTAATTAGCTGAAAAGTACTCAAATAATGAGTACTTAAGTAGAAAAAAACTAATAAGATAAAGAACAGGGGAGTGGGGATGAAGGAAGCACACTACATCAATCTTAAATTACGAGTCAGTTTCTTTAGAAAGTTGATGAAAGAATAAAAGAGGCTATGGTTAAACCTCAATCATAACCACGGTTCTGTCTTTCTTATTGAGTTTGCACTTAGTAGCCAAATTAATAAACATTGTTCTATTGTGAAAGGTTTCACAAATGTTTTCACAGATGACAATCACAATTCATTTGTAAAGCCGAATTCAGATTTCAGATGACAAATTTTTTGTCTATGCATTTGTTTTTTTTTTCATTTTGATTTTTGTCAATCTTATTCTTTACCTTTTTGTTATCCTTTCCTCTATCATACATTAGACCATTCGATTTCTGGAGGGAAGGCATCCTGATGAGTGTTGGATTCCTATTGTGAATGCAAAATCATTCGATAGTGTAAGTTCAGGGGTTTTATTCCTCACTTATTTCAAATTTGCTAATATTTTTTACATACCGTTTACTTCAACCTCCCTTTCAATTATGGAATACGTTCCTCTCTTATTTTCATCTAAAGTGTACTATTTCCATTTAAAGTGTGCTACTACTTTTTCCATATAACTTAAGAAGAAAATATAATATAAGAATAACACTTAATTAATGCATTACTCTCCAGGAAATATCATCTTAACATTTAAATAATGAAATATTGCATAGGTGCTGCTTTCCAAAAATGAAGATAAGAGTCATTGTTCATAAAAGAGTTCATATTGGCTTCTATTAATGAGTAATGGCATACTGTTTATGAGTATACTTATGTTTCAATAGTTGCTGATGTAAAGCTTTTATTGTTGCGTAGCTTGTGCAAGGATCTCAGGAAGAGTCCAAAAAAGATAGGTATTTCAGATTCTACATTAATAGAATGACTAGGTGGTATTTTGAATTTTATAGCAGATTGCCAGGTGAAGTTACACATTATTTATTTTGATATTTTCACATTTGTTTAATGCTTTAATGTGAGATGTATTTTAATGTTCTTTTAATGTATTTTAGAATGTTTTCTGAATGAATGACCAATTGAGGTGCATTTTTTTATGTTTTTTTAAGAGAGACATAAAGCCTTCTACTATTCTCAAATCGTCACATAAGGTCTTCTACTCATAAAAGTGTCACCAACATATATTTACTTTTAAAAAACGACCATATGAGGCATAATGACCGGTTAAAAACCCTCTGATCCCGGTTTCCGCTTACCTGGCACTCATTTTAGCAAATCTTTAATTTTTATTCCACGTCAGCCCCTTATCGTCAATTTTAAAAGGCCACCCACCCACGCTTTTGAGAAGACGCCAGTCCCTTATCGTCAATCTTTGACCAGAAGCTTTCTTCTCAACAAACGTTGGTCTCCCAGAAAAAGCTAGGGTTCATTGCTAAGCTCTGCTCAAGTTCTCCAGGATCGAAATGTCTTCAAGTTCGTTCACCTCGAATTCAAGGATGGGTTCAAACCTCTACTATGAACCTGCTGTGTATTGTAATTGTGGATTAAAAGCACCTTTGTGTGTGGGAAGGGAAAGTGGCCGGAAGTTCTATGGGTGTCAACGATGGAAAGTAAGTTATTGTGAACCAGTTGTATGAAAGTGTTTTTCGTTTTGGAGGATTTATCTTGAAAATAAATATTTTCTAAAAGTCTAATCTTAGGGGTATTTCATTTGGCAGATTTTGGTTGTTTTCTGAACATTTCCTATTTGGGGGATGATCTACGAAGCATTGTACTGATTTTTTGATTTTATACATAGACACAAGGAGGAGGATGCAAGTTCTTTGCTTGGAAAGAAGAGAGTAATGCTAAATGGGAAAGTTCAGAGTTGAGCTGGGAGGAGGGCAGAAAGCTACTTTATCAGTTAAGAGATGAAAATATGAGTGTTCGTCGTGAAGTGACTGAGTTACGAGCTGCACTGTAATCCGAAATTCAAGAAAGGAGGAATTGTATAATGTTGATTACAATTATAATTGTATTTGTTGTGGTAGCAATGGCAATGATGATCTGTGTATTAAAGTAGAATTTGTAAAGAATTTTTATGTAGTTCTTGCAATGGCTATGAAGTAACATTGTATAACAATGTAATTTGTAATTTCAATTTCTAAAAGTCAAGGGTTATATATTTAACTTTTTTGTTATGATTTCTTTACATACATGTATATCATACATATATATGTTATGATTTCAGAGGTAGTTGCTTATGTGTTGCTATCTAGAGTAAATATTGCAGCCAGTTTTACAAAATCACAAGTTCTAAGAAACATAACCAGGATCAGTCATAAATATCATGGCTCCAGAATCATGTTCTCATCTGGTATTACTGCTCAACACATGTTTATGTGTAGAATGTAAGGCCAAGAAGTAATGGCCTCATTTGGGGACACATTCTCCTGCTTTTGAAATGTAAGTATAATGTTAATGCCAAAATGAGTTTTAGATTAACATGTTTGGACTGAAATCAGTGACCATTACGCATTGTGCAGAGTACAAATTCTTAGACAGAAAATAACAAACACAAGTGCACCACTAACATAGCAAAAATCAGAAAAGGCAGAGTCATTGCCTGACAAAAACAAGTACATTAATGTCCTATGACATATATTACTACTAAACACAACTAAAGGGCTGCACTAGAGGGTCCTACATCAGGTGGGGTCTTTGGTGCTTTAGTTTCAGTTCTTCTTTTCTTTTTCAGACTGGCATATGCTTCTTTGACGGTCCTTGCTGTCTTTGCAGTTTCTGTGGATGTCTCCTGTGTATCTGAGGTCTTATTCGGGCATTTTGCTTTATTATGTCCTGCTTGTTTACATATCGAACAACTCATGACTCTTCCTTTTCTTGAGATCGTTGTCCTTCCTTTTTGAGACCCTAATCCTTCGCTTGGTTCCCGTTTTCTCTTTCTCTTGGGTCTGCCAGACATCTTTTTGGGAATCGGAGGTGCGATATCATTATTTTGTGTCCTAGCCCACAACAACTCCCCATTCATTGGTTGAAGATGATAAGAATATATTCTCTGGTACACCTCCTTTGAATAGCAAGGGTCGACATAATCCTCCGGATCCACACCTTTGTCGAAAATTGCATACACAGCGTGTGGGCAAGGAATTCCACTCAATTCCCAAGCTCTACATGAGCAGCTTCTTGCTTCTAGTCTGACTTGATACTGATGGCTCCCACGTTTAACCTCATACCCATCATCACCATTAAAAATGACCTGTTATGAAACATCATCCATTAATAACATATTAAATATATATGATACACCAACTGAATTCACACACTAACCTTCCAGCCCATGCTTTGATATGTGTTGGCATTTAACTTTTTCAATATTCTAGGTCCATGCCTGGAAGCCCATCCGCTCACAAACTTCACCTTTTTAGCAATCCGCTTCATTGTGGCAGTTCGAATGTCTTCTAACATAGGAATTATTGGCTTGCACCTAGCTTTTCTGATTGTGTTATTAAAAGCTTCAGACATGTTGTTGTCTAGGATATCACATTTGACTTCAGTTCTGAAATACGCTTTACACCACTGATGAGGGTCATAGAGTTCCAAATCACACTTTGCTGTAGCATCAACTTTCAACAACGCTTTCATTTGTTCTTCAAAATGAGCTTGAGTTGTGCTTCTCGCACAAAACCAAAAATGTTTTTCAGCACTTTTCCCCTGTGCTTCTTACTCCAATTTGCATGTATATGCCTACAACAATTTCTATGCTCAGAATTTGGAAAGACTTCCTTTATGACCTTCACTAAGCCCTGCAAACAATTTTATAGTAAAATTACAGTTAAATTGACAGTACAAACTTACAGAGTATACATTTCATTGATAAAGTTATACCTAAAACTATAAACAGTAACTATAAACTAAAACTTACAGAGTATACATTCCATTTTAAAACTATAAACAGTAACTCACTTTTACAGTTATACCTAAAACTTAGTAAATTATAAAGTTAGTCCATACCTTCTGCTGATCACTCATCAAAGTCCAATGAAATGTATTGTTGATGTCAAGATCTTCTTTCAGCAACTCTAGAAACCACTTCCACGAATCAGTGTTTTCGATCTCCACAACGGCCCATGCTATAGGGTACATTTCATTATTAGCATCCCCACACACGACACTTAATATTTCACCTTTGAGCATCCCTTTAAGAAAACTTCCATCTAAGCCAATGATTTGGCGACAACCTGATAAACCCCCCCCTTTTTAAAGCTCCAAAACAAACATACATTCGTTGAAAAACCTCAGGACCATCTTCTGTCACCCTCTGTGTTTTAACAATGATGGTGCTCCCTGGATTGGACCTCAAACACTCAGCTCCATAGTCTCCGAGTCTTCTAAACTGATCCCCAAATGATGCATTACCTTTTTTTAATACCCTGGCAATGACTCTTTTGACCTTCGTAATATTCACACTTATTTTCAGGTCATTCCGTATGTCCTTTTGCAATTGAACTTGACGTATGAATGGGTTTTCTCTAATTTTATTCTCGTACTTTTCTTCAAGCCATGCTTGACTTACTATCTTTAACTAGAATTTATCATTGCATCTGTGTGTACCCACCCATGTCTTTATCTGGAAGCAGTGGTACTGCTTTGCCCATGAAGCAGTGCATCTAAAAGGGCAATTCACAGAACATGCCACTTCAACTCTCATGGGTCCATTCCTTACCCATCTAAGATCCCGCTTCAAATGAACTGCATAGTTTATTATAGCAGTTTTGAACTCCCTTGCATCTTCAAACAACATTTCCAATTCAAGCTCTTTGGAATCTGAATTTCGATTGTATGATGGAGCTCTAAACTTCTTCTTCACTTTTGAATCCACTGGATGACCCTCTTCATTTTCAGACTCTGAGTGCAAACTAGGGGGGTCTTCGGAGTCATAATACTCACTACATTCTTCCTCACCGTCAAACTCAGACTCTGAACTAGTGTGAGTACCCTTATTGTTTACCCAATCATTTTGAGCCTTTTTTAATTGCTCATCGTTGTCATCGTTTAAATCTTCCTCACCCTCAAACGAAGCATGATCATCACGAGATCGTATGTCTTCTTCATTCTCTTCACACTCCCCATTTGGTGCTACCTCACCGTCTTATTGTTCTTCATGCGTGTCTTCAAACTCACTGTGATGTTGTGCCTCAACTCTCGATGAAGTATCATTTCCCTCCACAGTTAATGATGAAGGCAACCCTAAGTGGTCAACGAGTTCAGGTTCATCAATCCCGTGCTCCACATACACTTCTACTACACCGTAAATAAATGCCATCTCAATTAGCTGTAGAGTAGTAGCATCATCGCATAATGGCCTTAACCTGTCTAGACTCTCGTCGGGCAACTTAAATGACAGTGAATCCACTTTTTTATACATATCCTCTGTGATGTACTTCATCAAGTGAGGGTATGAAATTCTATCTGGATCTAAAACAATAGTCTCAACATCACCATTCACATATGCAAGATTTGGTATTCTCTTGAAATTTCCTCCATGGTAGATTTTCAACTCAGCTTCTAAAAACATTCTGAAAATAAGAACATTGACAGATTGAGTACTCAAATAGATAACTTCTCAAATAGTTATTTGTAAGAAACTCCATACTTGCAATTTTTTGTGTAACTACACAACTGTTATTTCAAGATTGGTAGAGTAACTATTCAAATAGCTAACACAAAACAAAGAGACTCCAAAACAAATTCCAAAATTTGTAAGAAACTTCATACATGCAAGAAAGAACATATAGGAATTGAATGATCCTTTTATAACTTAGAGGTAAAAATAGGGTAATGAAATTTAGGACTTGAGATGAGAATTCTTTAGATACTTTAGTAGATTTCACGTTCACAATTTCACCTAAACTATACAAATTTCAATTAATTTTCAAAAACATTCTTAAATAGACTTAAACAAATCAGTGAAATTGAACATAAAAAACTGACTTACTTTCCCAAAGCAACCTGTAAATGCAAATGAACGAACTCAATCACAACCCAAGCAGCGAAACAAAGACCTCACTCTCAATCATCGTCCCCAATCGCGGAATCCATCTTTCTCCAAAACCCTAGTCGCAGTCAGATTGGATGAGCGATCCTCTTATTTTCTTTTACCCGGTATGTCGAGATATGTCTAACTTATGGTGAGTATTTGGACACGGTGCGGCTGACGTGGAATAAAAATTAAAGATTTGCTAAAATGAGTGCCAGGTAAGCGGAAACCGGGATCAGAGGGTTTTTAACCGGTCATTATGCCTCATATGGTCGTTTTTTAAAAGTAAATATATGTTGGTGACACTTTTATGAGTAGAAGGCATTATGTGACGATTTGAGAATAGTAGAAGGCCTTATGTGATCCTTTTCTCTTTTTTTAATTATTGAGTTGGACACTATTACTGAGTAACCTCAAGTTGAACACTCAAAAGATGACAAATGACTGTGCTTTTTAAATATAAGGTGTACATTCCTCTTTCTTATTCATAGGTATTTATTAGTCAGGAAACATCTTATTTAAAAGTGACATAGTTTCTTTGTTTTTCACTAAAACTGAAAATTCTCTATTTACTTCTGCAATTTCCTTTTCAAAATAAGTGAAGAGAAGGGCCAATGTTCATAAAACAATTCATAGTGGCCCTCTAATAAGATACATTACAAAATGTTGTATGTTTCTTCCATCGAGACCACTATTATGTATCTTATCCATAGAAGAGAAGAATTAAAATCATTAAAATTCATTTTTCTCTTTTTTATAATTTGATATCTTCGACTATAAGCCATTTTACATGTTTCTAATGAAAGTTTTTTATTTTTAAATAGAAAGAGAAAGCCGTCTTTATCTTTATACAACCAAAAAATGAAAGTCATCCTTGTTTTTTTATTCCTACCTCTAAAAAACTGAATATCATTTAGGTATAAAATGCAGATATTTTGAGCTTGGAGTGGTAATAGTGAACGGGATGTTGAAAACAGATAAACCATTGGCAAATACCATAGAAGTTGCTTATTTTGACGCTTCTTTTGTTATGTTGCCTTTGATATTCAGATTACTTCACCTTGATTGCTGTGAACAATTTAGGAAGCACAAACTTTACTCTATGGTGTGATATAAGTACATCCAAGTATATCCATGTTATTATCA